AAAGGTGGGGGGGGGGCATGTCGAGGCGGGGAGCATACTCACCAGATGTACTTGCTGAATCCATGTCCATATCACGTGGAGCGGTGAGACGGTCAGTTGGCCAGACGTGAACAGATGGGTAGGTGGTGAGGGGGGAGGGGGCAAGAAAAGGTATGAGGCGTCGTCAACTAACCCGTCACATATGTCACACATATGTGACGCCTCCATTATGACAATTGGATTGAGACTCGTGGTACAAAGGGGCGTGGAGGTAATTGGGACTCCTGTCCCCTGTTAAACGATGGAACAGCAGAATTGAAGAGGAGGAAGAGGATGGGACACCTCCTCTTCTCTGAGGAAAAACCTGGTCATAGGTTTGGAGAATTGATTTTCCCCTGTGAGCAAGCAGGCGATCCTCGGAAGTGGGATTGGTGCCTGAAAAGAGAGCACGCCGTGGATCATCCACCCACCCGATCGGACCATCTACATGCTACCGGAGAGCATGATGGACGAACGCCATCACCTCGGGCTCCCTTTCTGTGATCGCTGACACCGAGGCTTCTTGACGTCGGTGACCTAAAGTCATTCAGACCGCCTTGGTGTCACGTCACTCGAGTTCACCACCATCAGAATGGTATCCAGTGCTGCTTCATCCACGCTTCTCGGTGTTCAGTGTCTCACGGACTTGAACTGCTCTGTTAGACGAACCATCCTCTGTGCCATCGAACCTCACCTCCTGTTCGCGCCACTTTAACGCGTCAACTACCCCTCCGACATCCACTTTCCTGCTGCCCCTCCACATTTCTCACGTCTCCCTATCCCTGTTCTCCCATAATCTTCACTTTTGGCGGCGAAACGGCGAGGCGAGGGGGTGAGGATGGAGGAAACCAGGCTTGATGAATGCCCCATTGATGTAACCAATCAAACGCGTCCGTCTTCTCCACTCTTATTGGCTGACACGTACCCGGTGTGTTTCGCTTTTATCCCCTAACTTATTTCCCAACTCAGTGGCATAGTGAATCCCCCTTCTCCCAATTAAAGTGTGGAAAATAAAAGAGCGCCTTGTTTCTTTCATTTGTTATGTACCTTACCTCAGAAATCTGGTGTTAGCCTGTAGAACTCCTGAGGTATACAGCCAGGTGGCGCGTTGAGCATGACCCTGCGAAGCCACATCACCCCAGTGATCACGGTGGCTACTCGCCCCTCTCACTCACTACGGCATAGAGCACATAACTTCCACTCATACTTATCATAAATTACCGCCTTGGTTACGAGATGGGACGAAATTTCTCTGTGACACTGCTGCTTTTCCCAGTGTCGCATATATGTGACGCGTTGGCTGTTGCCTGCATCTGAATTGCCACGGTACACATATGCCACGGAGTGGTAGGTTGTTCGCAATCATTATAATCCACTCCACTTTCAACCATGTAGTAAGTAATGTAACCACGGAGTGAAGTGTTGACACATGAAGTGGCCTGTAGATCACGTCATTGATGAGCAATCTCTGCTCCACTTCTGGAGTGTCAATATGCGCACTTGAGTTACTCAGCAAGTCGTGAGTGAAGTGATTAAACAAAATTGTTTTCGGAGTCACCTTTGCCTCCTGTGGATGACGTGGTGCCAGCCTCTGGAGTGATGGAGGGAAGGCCAGTGACCGACCAATCAGAAAGGAGAATGAAACCCCTTTACGATGACATCCTGCCTGGCACCTGTCATTGAATGTAAGTCACTTACTTAGATTTCTCCACTTATCTTCCACCTTTTAATAGGCCATATCTCACCGCCAACTTGACACGTAGCGCAGGAGGATGGAGAAAGCCATCACGCCTTTGATCCACCAGACTCGGTGGGCACCTGGGCCGAATGCTGCCCAACGCCATTCACTAGAAGCTCCTCTCACCAAGGAGGGGGACGGAGAAGATTGCCAAAAAAAGAAGGTGTCTCTGAAGCCTCACCCATTTACTTGGGCAGGGCAGAGAGACATCAAACCTCGAAGAGTATGATGAGGATGTCACTCCATAATCAATGTCAATCACACGACCACATACGTGGGGTACTAGGAGCCTGGGTATATAAGACCCCCCTGCTTCGCAGATGTGGATCACGTTATTGCTTGTTCTTCTGCCTCACTTTTCTCCTCTCTAAACCAACTTCTCCACTGGTGGGCTGTCGCCATGAGGGATACAGTTTTTCAAGGCCTCCTAGAGAAAAGGCTCTCATGTTTCAAAGTCCGCGCACACATTAGAAGCGTGTTTGCGTGTGCACGTTCGGTGGTCCTTTTAAAGTGTTTCAATGAGTTTGAGTTTTTTCTTGTGCCTTTTAACTCGTACCCTGTCAGTAAGGTGGTATTTGCCGGAGGGGGGAGGGGAAAGGAGGAGATGGGATTCACTATTAAACCACTTAGACTTTGACGAGGTAGAATAAAGGATAGGGGGGTGATTATGACAAATCTGGATGAAAAATGATTATAGTTAATTAAGAAAAAAAATGCCAGAGACATCTGTCACATATGTGCGACGAGGCAATTCAGATGCAAACAACAATGTGTCACGTATATGTGACAGTGGGGTAAAAAAATGCCACAGAAACACTTTACTTTATCGCATTACTAAGATAGAGGGAGAGCTTGTGATAGGCATTAGTGGGGGTACGTGCTTTATGTCGTAGTGAGTAAATGGGGCGAGAGAGATGCGTTTTCTCAAGGTCGTGCTCAACGAACCACTATTTGTTTACTCAAGTGTTGCACAGACTAATTTCTGCTACTTATGCAACTTAAACTATGATGTGCAGTGATGCGGGACCAAGTGCTGACAGCCAATGAGGGAAGAGGGATTAGAGGTGTGCGTAGGTACCCCCCACCCTGTCATCGACTGTCAAGTAGATCAAACCGACTGCATCTTTCAAGCAGGTGAAACACCCTCTTTTACGACAGAATAAATGAAGGACGGAACAAAGCAAGGCTTTTCTTCATTCACTACATTTAAAATTGAAGGGGGCAGGGGTTTACCATGATTTTCAGATGGAGAATAAGTAGGAGATGGAAGTGGAATTTATCAGATACATGGCAGCCAATGAGAGCCGAGAAGACAGACGCGTCTGATTGGTTACCTCAGTGGGTCATCTATGGGTCTTGGCAGACGGAGAGAGAGAGGTATCCCTGTCCTTACTCGGACCGAGGTTGTCTATTCACGGCCTCATCTGGTCCCTTCTCGTCTGGTCTGTTCGTGTCGAATCCGGTTTGAGATGGTGTGGTATGGTAAGGGGTGGCCTTCTTTACTCCCTGTTAACAATGTGGGTACGAGAGTGAGGCGATTGCACAATTGCGGGTTGTGTCACCTCTCATCGGTGAAGCAGTCTCCTGTGAAAGGCATGCTCAACGGCGTGGTCAATTCTCTCACATGTTTGACCTCTTGACCGTTAAGCAGGTAAGTGTGCATGTGTAGGTGCGTGAATGTCTGGGGGATTTTCCATCAAGAAAAAGTGGCCCAACGACCTCTGGGTTGGTGAAGCGACTGAGGCGTGGAAAAGGCATCACTAAAGTACACCGAAATGTGCATTCTTTATCTTCTAGTGTTGATATTGGTGAAAAATAAAACAGTTGTTTGAAGCTAACCCGTGGAATTGACTTGAGGCAGTTTGGCGGGAACAAACAGCTGACACCTTGACAACATCGGTGAAAGAGAAGAAAAAAGCTGACAAGAAGCTTAGGTCACTTTATAGCACTTACTTCTCCTCCTTGAATGGTGTCAGGGGTGTCTCCCGCAAACCATCTCGTATCCATCTTTCCGTCAAGCCCACATCCATCCATTTCGTATCCGTCCATCCTGTATCCACCCATACATCTTGCATCCACCCAAAACCCATCCATCATATTATCCATCCCTCATGCATTCCTGCATCCAACATCCAACCATCCATCCCGCCTTCGTCCATCCATCCATTCATGCCATGATTATCCATCCTTTCCGTATTCGCCCTTCCATATGTCTCCCCGTTTTACATCTCTTTCATTTTTGCCCATCCTTTCTACCTTCATCTCAATTATGGTTCCAACGGTGTCCAGTTTCACGTCGTGGCACCCACTGTTGCCGCAAAGGACAACTTGCTTGCTTCTCAGGTGTCGATTACTGGTGGGGTAAACTTAGACGGACTTGACACCTCCACGTTGGCTGCAGGCACGTGGCATAACTCAATAAAAGGATGAAAAACACGCACGTTTTTATTTGAAATGTGAAAGTGACCTCTTTCGCCTTAAAAATATGGCACCATCACACCCTCAGCCTTGGCATGGTCGTGACGTGGCCTCATCATTGAATTTTTTTTCAGCACAAAGGGCAGTTTCTCCTTTGGTATAAATTATTTTTTGTTTTCTCTCCTTTACCTTACCTTTGCCTTCTTCTCTGGCAACATGAACGACAAGACACGACGTGGCAGAACCTCGACACTATGTAGGGTTGTTTTTCCTGACAAGGTTTTAGGTGCTGGAGAATCTGGACACCTGGTGGAGTAGGTGGAACCCCACCACCATCACATGCCACCCTGTTGGCGGTATAGCTCAGTTGCGCGATACTAAAGATGCCTTAAAGACGTCACTTCGACTACATCACTTGGCTTCGTCAAGTTTACACCTCCCCTGAAGCCTCGATGACGGCGGTCACAGCAACTGAGGCATGCGGTGGTGGCGTTCGTCTCTCTCCCTGTTCGGTCTACAACGAGGGCAATTTCCTGCCTAAATCCCCTTAGCAGCAGTGCTT